CCAATCAAACTTTGCCGACATCGGAAATATCGGATTTCCGTCGGAAATCCGTCGGAAAGTCGTCAGAATATTACGACAGTTTATATCCGTCGGAAATCCCGTCGGTATTCCGTCGGAAATAACCGACGGATTTCCGACGGTTTACATTTGGTCGCAATTTCGTCGGTAAACCGTCAGAAAATTCCGACGGAATTCTCGCCCGTCGGAATTTCCGTCGGAAATCCGGCTGTTTTCTTGTTGTGTTGAGACTTAAACCAGAAACATTAATTTGCATTCTTTCTAGGACTAATTATCTTCAGTTGCATTATGACCTTTTCATCATGCTTAGGGCATGAGCTTCATTCTATAATGTCAATAGCTCCATTTGAAACAAACAAATCATTTAGAATGAGTTAAACAATCCTTCACTGTCACTTTTAGTCATCATAAACCCTCAAGTAACAGGCTGGCTAAATAGCTTCTATGTTGAACTGGATATTTGTCCCAACATAGCATTCTTCATTTTGCAGCCATTGCAATTTATCTCTTGTACCAGATGACAATCAAGAATCCTTGCTTAGATTTAAGTGTCCCACCAAATTGCTAATAGATTTAAGTGTCCATAGAAGACAAGCTCGGTTAATGCCTTTGTTAATGATATTTTAATTTTACTAAACACACAACACATGAATTTACTCAAACAAAACCAAATTAACTATTAAAGAACAAAAACAAGTAAGAGTTAATTACTTGAGTCACAAGGGAATTGTAAAGAGCATAACACATGGAGGAAGGGATCATCATTGTGAGAAAACATGGAACTACTACTACATTCATCATGGAAATACAAAGAAATTTAAAAAAAAAAAACATAACACAAATTAAGAAAAGATAACAAACTACTACTACATTCATCACTTCTTAATTTCCTTCACTTCTTAACTTATTTTTCCTTCTTCATTTCTTTCCTTTTCAATTGCTTCAATACCAAAACTAATTTTTATTGATAGATAGTACTAGTTACTAGAACCGAAGATAGTATTTTAGGTAATTTTTATTAATAGAGTATTAATTACCAGTATTGAAAAGCTATCTCTTCAAACAAGCAAAATGAACTTGAGCATTATGGTTACAAAAAAAAAACCTTTGAAAACATTACAAACTCTTCATTGAATTTTCTAGGTCACTATCATGAAGCAGAGAAAAATTGAAGTTGGTGAAAAAGAGTTAAATGAAAAGTTTAACGCAATTATAGGCTAGTAGTGTTCCAAATAAAAAAAACAGTGTCTTTGAGTTATGGACAAATGTTTGAAATGTTGAAGTTGAATTTATTGAACTGTGTAAGCTGTTTTTTTTCTAACAATCTGGTTAAGTTGATCGTCACACCATGTATATCTCGTAGTTGTTCGTAATTATAAAGATACCACAAAACTCGACCTTCTTCTCCCTAACCAAAAGCACGAAAAGAAAAATAAATCAGATTATATATATATAAATTGAAACCTAGCCGCCATTATTGATTAGTTTGATAGCAAAAGAGAGAGCGTTTAGGCTTCCTATTTATAAGGTCACAATATAAGAGAATATATGTTGTTGATACATTTAATGTATTGAATATTTTTGTTAACAAATATGGGAAATACAATCTGTTACTACCATTTATATGGAATGGAATATATACCACGAGTGGTTGTGAAAGTTGCCACTGAATGCAAACACGAGAAGGCAGTACTGCGAGAAGGATCGTTAAATTAATCCTTCCCATTATATTTTGAAATGTTTAATCATTATTTGGTATAATACTTTTTACCAAAAACTTAGATGTAAACAATCCACATAGAATGAACCACATTCTTTATGGAATTACTTGGATCCTATGTTGCATGTTGAAATTATATTTCTTCTTTTTCAGTTGCGCATGTAACATGATAATAAAAATTAGAAGGAAAGATTCCAAAAACAAAATTCTCACAGAAAAAGGAAAGGAGAGAAGAAAAGCTTTTTCGCCACGCCTTTTGATCTCTTTCTTTAAATGGAAGGTTTGGTAGAGAAGAAGAAGGTTTTTGATCCTCAAAACTTAAATTTAGGGTTTATCTGAACTAATGTCTCGGCTTCTCTCCAAGCTCTCTCCCTTCGTAAGAAACTTTCTTTTGTTTTCTCTTATTATATGGTTAATTTCTCGTTTTTTGCTTAGTTAGTACTTAGTAGCATATGGTTTCTCTTTTTTTGCTCTATGCTTAGAAGATTAGAGAATTCACTCTAACTGGATTATATGGTCCTCTTACTTACTTGGCAGATTCACAAGAGGAACTTTCGCTCGTTTTCATCGTCCACCATATTTGTCGGTTGAAGTGAGTGCGAAACTCTTGCCAGAAGGCGGAAGCATTGGAGAAGTGGTTTTGTTCGACCCTGCCAAAGAAGAGTTACTTAAGGTTACGGCAAAACAATTCCAGAAGAATATGTTTTTGCCAAAGGCATTGGAGCTTCCAAGGGATGGGGATATTTCTGTGACCCTCAAGATCGTTGCGTACTTATGACCGATTTCTTGAACCCGTGGGCGTGCAAATCAAACCCCAAGATGTTCACTCTGCCTCCGCTCACTCCTCTGCCTTCTTGCCAAACTGATGTGGTCTGGAACGTGGCAATGTCCTCTTGTCCTGATGAAGACCAAGACTGGATAGTTGGCATCAAGTCCTTGGGTGATCAGCTGAGTTTCTGCAGGCCTCGTCGCGAGTTGCGTTGGACCAAGATCTCAACTCCTTTTGACAACTTTCCAACCTCAAATCTCATGTATTCTAAGAAAGACAAAAAGTTCTACTTGCCTGGTCCTGGAGGCCACCACTTGTTATCATATGATCTCCACTTCAACTGTGAGTTCTATGACCTGCAGTTTCGCGACTTTCCAGAGGCCCTTCAGTATGACTCGGAGCTGCTGCCGGAGCTGTTTCCTTCTTGTTCCAGGACGGATCACCTCGTGGAGTCACCCTCCGGAGAGGAACTTTTCCTCGTCAAATGGTATATTATTGTATACTTAGTAGCATATGAATAATGAATATATATCCCATTATTGTCCAACCATCGTTGCTTCTTGCATGCAGGTACGGGAAGGGCAGTTTGGCTACGAAACAAATCTCCTATGAAACGCAACGGTAGACTATAGAGGGAAAGTTCATGTGTTACACCGATGACATTGGAGATCTCTGCATCTTCATTTCAAAGGGCGAGGCTTTTTGCGTCCCTGCAACCTCTTACCCTGGCCTCAAACCTAACTCCATCTATTTTACTGGGTTTGGCTTAGGTACTTATGATCTCACCACCAGAACCGCCTCTCCTTTGCAAGCTCCCAAAGGTGCCCTGGATCATATTGTGGCCCCATACTGGTTTCCTCCACCTTCTAGCTAGTGCTATGATTGTAACGCTTCCTTTTTTACTTCTCTCCACTGGCTATGATTGTAATGCTTCCTTATTGGTTTCCTCCATCTTCAAGCTAGTGATACTAATTTATCACTTTTCCTTCACTTCATTGGTTTTTACACTGCTAAACAATTCCTCTAATCCACCTCACAGTACTGTCTTATTATGGAAACAAGTTGACCACCTAGCGTTTGTTGTTGGTGTTTTGAGGGAACACATAGGGTAGTGTACTAGTAGTGTTTGCGTTTGGCTTGTTGATTAGAGAACATATTTATAGAATACGATTCAATCCAATTTTCCATATCATATTCAAGAAAGATGCACAATCAAAAGTCATTGTCATGAAATCAAAACATTGATTTGACAATAGAGTTCGAGAGAAACTAACTCAGAAGATTCTAGTAAGAAAAACTGGCTTCCAAACAAAGCCACGGGTTCTTGTAAGAAGGGAGTGACTTGAGGCTTCAGAATCTGTGCTCAAGTTTCTCCTGTTCCTTGAAGTGCTGAGCATACCTGCATTCATTTGTATATTTGAATTACGCGAGAAAGTAGAGACCTTATCAGATAAGAAACCACAATGAAGCACTCATAATGTAATAGATGCATAAAGTGTGAGCAATATGGTTAAGCAGATTGTTCTTTGGCAATTCATGTCTGTAAGATTCAATACTCAATTTCAAAATCTAAACTCACAATTAAGGAATTCTTGATGCTTAATACTCTTCTTCAGCTAACTTACTTATAGCATTTCATTTTGACATTTTGTTCTATGTTTCTCCATAATGATCAATCATGGTGACCAAACGATTTATACAATCATGGTCACAAATGAAGAACCCTAAATCCATTAGCACCGTACAAGCTCAATGACACAGAAACCTCAAATTCATATACCAACCAGATCGAAGAACAATCACACAAACATCAGATCAGAAATCTCCAAAGATTCGTTTACCAATCGATGA